AAAGAAGGGTTCGTCGAGGCGATAAGAGAGTTATTAAGAGGTGTAGAAAGAATTTGATTGTGGCCAATTTGGTCTCATGTGCTTCTATGGGTATGATGGTGATGGAGAACACAGGTGAGGGCAATCGAATTGTATTTATCGAAAATTACACAGAGTTAATTGGTAAAATACGAAAAACCATATCGTAAATCGTTAATTTGCAAAATACATCAGTTCATCATATCGAATTGGACTGTTCCTGTTGCAAAACATCAATCCATTGTCACTATTCATGCTATTTCATACAAATTCCATTGTGTTCCCCCCACTCTTCCTTTCTTGATCTTCCCCCATCTTCTGCTGCCAGACATTACGTTTACACTCACGTCATATACTACTTATAAGTAGCTCACACCACACTACTACTACTACTATCCGTCTTTTTTTTGTCGTTAACACGAAATTATTATACAGCCAAATCGATCGATCGATCGATCATCCAGTCTAAACACAATAATCAAACTCATTTTATAACAACAATCTCTTCTATCCTATCGGCGTTGTTGTTTATCCTTCTCCCTCGCCCTCCCCCCTAAAAAAAAATAATAAGTCTATTCCAATTATTCGCATAGAATGAATTTCGTTATGAAAATTGTTGATTTTTGTCATATTCACTCACCTCTCTAATCAATAAATAGATTATTTTGTTGTGTTGATGATGATGGTGTATATCTTCCTGTCCATTAAAATGAAAATTTTTTTTTATCTCCTACTACATTTCTCAGTAGTGAAAGAAATAGAAATTTACCTAGTTTTCATGTACACTACTCTCATGCGCATGGTTGGTTGGTATGTACGTGTATGAGTGTGTGTGGATAGGTGTGTGTGTGTATGGGTGTTGTATTCCTGTCAGTTTATGGTGGTAAGCTTGCCAACACTTCGTGGTTCTCTATGCAAAAAACAATCTCTCTCTCTCTCTCTCTCTCTATATATATATATATATATATATATATCAGTTCTGAGATGGTGGAGAAAACTTGTAGCTCAGTTGGATGATTGCGGTGGTGTTTCGTTCTCCAGCTCAGAGGACGAAACACCACCGCAATATATCAGTTCTCATCACCAATTTCTTTTTGCTAAATGTTTCAATAATAATTAAATTCCTTTTTAAACTTACACTTTTCTCATTCATCGGGTTTTTCGTCAATTTTAATAAATATGTTGTTGCCTGTCTGTGTATAAATGTTGTAGTATGGTAAAGTGAAATGATATAAGTACGTACGTACGTACGAAGTTTAGCGTTGTAGCTGGTTGACTGACTAACTGACTTCATGCATTTCTGCAATGTTTTGTTCTGGCCGCCCCTAACTTTCTTCCAACCTACTCCTACACCACAAAACATTGTTCGTTGAGGCCTTCGGTGGTTAGGCATACGTAACACATGTCCCAACCACCTCAACTGATGAAATTTCACCACTACATCTATTGATCTGCCATCTTTACCTAGTACTCGTTTCCTAACGACACCATTGCTTACTTGGTCGTCCCACGATATACGTTTTATGCGGCGAGCCCGTCGTTCATTCATATCATCTCCTAATTCGCTCGCTCGATTTATTCGTCCATACGTCTTCACAGATGGTCAATAAACACTCATTACATAATTCGACTATTCCGACAACAAATCGAATCTAACCAACCAGTTGGTACTTCCGAGGACAAATCAAACAGAACCACTAACTGGAAATCCTGACGCCGTACATCGACAAACCAGCTCAAAAGCTTAATGAATTCGCTGAACAAATCAACGAACCAGACTCGACATACAACACAGACAACGCACTTTCTTTTCGGACGAAAGCAGCAAACCCACTTCAGCGGTTATATGCACATATACAAAAATCGTATTATCTTATTATCATTTCGATTACGTATCAATTCGTTGCATGACTCAAATTCTCAAATTATTCTTGATGGAAAATTCTTTCATTTTTCCTGAATTAAATGATTCTCTGTTGGGGATGTTAGATCCCCAGAACTCGCTTGACAAATGCCTTATTTTGGATTTCACGTTTGCTAGCATGGGCTGATCAGTTGACCTTGAGATTTCATTTTCCACCAGGAAAATCCATGGCTCTGATTGGCTACTGTGTATTTTAGTGTGCTATTTTCGTAACTGTCCCAAGGATGATTCTATGATGCATAAATAAACGAGACTTGTATGCTTGATTGTACTGTGATTGCTGAGTGTTTGTAAAGTATAATTTCTACGTGTACAAAGCCTTTGTTTTCTTCAGCTTGTGATTCAAGTTAGTCTACCTGGACGCTGGCAATTGTCTCGTTCGTGAATTCATAATAGCTTCAAGCGTACCTAATGACAAACCCTACATTTTCATTAATTAAAATATATCCTCATAAAATAAACTTTCTTTTTCCAAAAAAACAAACTCATATCCTATTTCGTTTGTTGTCTTGTTCAGTTTTTAATTATTTAATTTATTTATTTTAAATATAACATGTGAAATGAATTAGTGAATTAATTTTTTATATAAACCTTTTAAATATTTTGATTTCATTTGAAGTGGTATTTCATACCGCAAATTGTTTTTCAACCAAATATGTCGGTATGCATTTGGATTACGCAACTGTTTATATATTCGCGTTACATAAACGTCATCATCATCATCATCATCATTTCAGAAATACTTTTTTCTTCTAATGTTTACATTTTGACGATGAGTTTTAATTGACTTTTTTTTAAGTACTTACTTAATTATCTAATGACTTTGGCCTGTTACCGCTTATCTAGCATAGACCTGCTGCCGACTAGTTTTCGCTAAACAACTCTATTGTGGGCCTTCCTTTTCAGTTTTACGCAATTGCTGTTTTTTTCTTCTGATGTCTACTTCTGATTCTCAGTGTCATGTTTTCTCCGGTATTCCTCTTTCTCCTCTGACTTCAAGGATTCCTAGCAAGTGCTTTCCTTGTGAGGCAGTTGAGTGCTTTTCTCAATCTGTGTTCTGTTCAGTTCCACCGCTTATTCCTAATTTCTTCCTCAGTTAGATTGTGGTTTGTTCTCTCCCATAGTCTGGTTGTTGTTGATGTCGATGAAGTCTGGCCAACGGTTGCTCAACATATTGCGTAAACAACAGTTAATAATCACTTGTATCTTTCAAACGATAGGTTTTATGGTTCTCCAACTTTCTGCTATACACAGTAGGGTAGTTTCGATGTTTGTATTGAAAATTCTTTAAAAATATACACCAATGTTAAAGAATAATTCTGTTTATTATTATGCCAAATTTTCTTCAATTTAAATTATCAAAAGTTCAATATTTTTTCATAGTTCAACTGTGTTTTGTGTTTTTTTTATTGATCAACGAATAGTTTAAACGATCATGGAGTGATTTAAGATTTTTCAAATCATTTACCGACTTACTTTCAAACATCTTTGTTTATCAGTCAGTCAGTTAGGATATGAGGGCGGTTGTCACTTCCCGGATGCCTATACCGTGGAAGGTTGTTTCCCAAGGAACCTGAAAAGGAAGATAGATTAGTGTTGGTCTTAACGACCTGGGAGCGTGACCGAAGAGTCCAAAGGACAACTGCTTCAGGCCGGTCACGCACGACCTTTTTATGAGAAGTTTTCTGAGTGTTAGCTTCGCTCTTTTAAAGCACTTAGTGGGCATCCTTACCGACGGAGACAAAAATCCGTGCAACCAGGTGAGGTGTGACATTTTTAGGGTCGACCTTCTCTCACTCCTTCCTTCCTTGTGAGAAGGCATCATCGCTGCAGATGCTGGTTGTCCGAGGGAAATACCTTACTGTTGTCACACTCCTCTGCAGTCAGCAGTGCGACTTCGCCCTCAGAACATGGGTACTAGCTTTTAATCTCATCGTTCTCCAATCGACCTGTCTGGCATGGTATAGAACCTTGAGGAACATATGTTCCAGCCAATATAGCTCGTGGTCGGGTCATCACGATAGTCAAGCCCGACCACCATGTCAAGTTAGCAGCTACGGTCGGGTATTTTTGTTTATCAATCGAATAAAACAAAACTAAATAGCGCATCACATTCTACATTGTCCCAGTGTGTTTACACATTGTTCAATAGTCGGTAATAATCAAAAATTTTGACATTGATCACTAAGCGCACATAGGTTAAATTCGGTTTTTTTCTTTTCTGGCTTGATCTTGGCCGTTAAGAGTACAGGACTTTCGTAGGTTACTAGTCTTCGATCATCGGTGTCTCCGAAGCATTGCTCGTGTATTATGGGACAACCGTATAAGCACTGCTGTCGTTAGGAAACGAAAACTAGGTAGGGACGGCAAATCAATAGATGAAGTAGTGAAACTACATCAGTTGAAGTGGTTGGGACATGTGTTACGTATGGCTAACAACCACTGACTGCCTCCACGAGATATGTTTTGTGGTGTAGGAGTAGGTCGTAAGAAAGCTAGGCGTGGCCAGACCAAAACGTGGCACAAATCCATGAAGTCACTGACAAGTGGATCGAATCATGTTGGTTGATGTAGTAGACTACCTGATCGGGGTCCACAAGATGATAGTAGTCGATGGTTGGTGACCTTGAGTGATATGGCTCAGAATCGTTTGCAATGGTGCAAGTGCACCTACTCTTTGTGTTCTATGAAATTTTAAGCTTCTGCATTCTTCATAATCTCTGTCTTTCTCCTTCTAAATCTATCTCACTGAATTATACTTCTCGAATCATAATCTTCGAACCCCAATCTTCTCCATTACTGCCAATACTTTTACTATCACTAACACTATTGGATTCGAATTGACAGTTACGTCTCTGTGCTGATGTGGTATGACAACCTGAACTGATGTACTCACGTACAAAGTTCTGTGTTGTATCTGCCTGTCTGTCTTTCTGGTTTGATATTCTGTGAGAAAAATAGGTCACTTTTATAAATTAAATTAAGTTGCAATTTCATTGATAAAACAGACTGAAAGATTCTTTTTCCTTTTTTCTGATTTGCCTTTTATTTTATTTAGCCGAATCACTTGTTCGCCCGGCTCGTATTGATCGTACAGCGAGTCCACCATCATCAGCCAGTATGTATTGGTCAGAAGCAAGAAGATTAGCATCATTTCCAAATGCTCGTTTACCTGATTCAAATAGTTTACCAGCTATCGATAGATATGATTTTCCTGCACCACCTTCACCAGCTGTTGTAATGATTGATAAACGTAAGTGAAGTGAAGTGAAGTAAATTAAATTGTTTTGATATAATGAACATGCGCGCGTTATGGGGGTTGTGAAGGTTATGTATGGGTGGATAAGATATACGAGCATTAGAAAGCTGGAAGTATTGGATTACCGTTTCATTTTGGTATGAGACTCATCGGCAGTGCGTATCCCCGACTACTGCTCCTCGAAGGATTCGAACCAGGACCTTCGGCCGCCTATTGCTTTCATACTTTTGTAGTGTGTCGATTTACTCAGTCAGTTGCAACGTAGAACTACGTACGTATGTACATAAGTTCACGTTGCCATCCACATTAGCACAGAGAGACGCAAAAATCAAATCAAATCCCATAGTGATAAAGATAGTAGAGGTAATAATGGTAATGAGGAAGACTAGGGTTTGAAGATATTATTCAAGAAGTATAATTCAGTGAGATAAGGTTAGAAAGAAAAAAGTAGAGGTGCTGACGAATCCAGAAGATTAAGATTTGAGAGAACACAACGAATGGATACACTTGCGCCATTGCAAACGATTTTGAGCCATGTCGTTCAAGGTCTCTAACCATTGGTGACTTTCGTCTCGTGGACCCCAACCAGGTAGTCTACATCTACCAACATGACTCAGTCCACTTGTCAGTGACTTCATGGATCATGGATTTGTGCCATGTTTTGGTTTGGCCGCCCCTAGATTTCTTCCAGCTTACTCCTACACCACCTACTGCGTGTTCTTAAGCTCGGTAATAAGCTCGTCTAGACAATTAGTTACTAACTACCGTCTGACGGTTTATAAATCAGAAGGTGAACCCACACACCACGAAGCGAAGCGGAGAAGCAGCGAATAAAACGAATGAAGTGACGTGAATTGAAGAAGGCTGTTGAGCCAACTCCCAGGATTACAATGCGAACGAATGTGCGAATGAAGTGAATGAACAGGCGAAGCGCGTTGAAGAAGGCTAATGAGTCAACTCCTAGAGATAGAGCATGACTAAGAATAGTCAGAGAAATATAAGATAGACGTGCGATAAGCGACATAGGCACACATGAATAGTTGACAAGGTCAAAAGACAAGTGGGATACATCACATGAGCTCATACAAACCAGACAATAATAAGAACGAATGGTACATTACATATGAGTTGTTGCTACGCCAATAGCTTGGTTATATAAATTAATCGAAAGAGCTTACCAAATCAAAATGTAAGCGAACTCGAATATATATATATGGAGACACTACACTTTGACGGGTGGTGGTCTAACATTTCAAAACATAAATGAAATATTTTTCATCTATTTTCAATTAACTTTCATGTATAGGTCGTGAAAAACGTATGACAGCTGGTGGCGCACAATCCATTGCGGCAGATAGTCGAAATGGTACACTTCGAAATGGAACAATGACATCAGTTGATACAGATTATACAGATCATGATCCGATATTAAACGCGAAATTAGATCGAATCGATGCTGAAATTGAAACATTGAAACGCTTGGGTGAAAGTTCTGGGATTACAGCGGTGAGTATCGTTTCTTTTTTAAAAATTTAAATCATGTCTCAATTATATGTATTCACCATAAAACTGAACATGTATTGTTGATGTACTAAAATGCATTACGGGGTTGTGAAGATTGTTAAGTTACACACATTTTTTGAAACCATGAATCGATCAATGTTAGTAGACCACCATTAGAAACCTGGAAGCACTGAAAGACAGCCGTTTCGTCCTGGTATGGGACTGACTCATCAGTGGCAGTGCGCATCTACGACTCCTGCACTCCGCAGGATTCGAACCCAGGATCTTCGGTATTGTGTGCAAACGCCCACCACTGAGCCGGTATCTAACGTTGTTAATGTCTAACTTGATCAATCCACGGGGTTGTGCAACCTCATACACAGTCTTCGGTAGTTACTGCCTACACCCGAACAAGTTGAACTTCACTGGTCACCTCTTCCCACTAGAAGTCGGAGAAGATTCCTCACGTAGCTAGTCACTAATGAGCACAGGTAATTTGCATTACGGGTTTGTTGTGAAGATTGTTAAGTTACACATTTTTGAAAATCGAGGCAATTTTAGTGATAATCACAATGAAATGAAATACAGATTACGTCACTACAGACATAAGAGCCAAGAGTACAAGTGGATAGTAGGAAGACAGGTGTACTGATAGTAGTAAGAAAATTATAAAATATGATAACCAAATAAACATTAAAAACATCTAAACCATTACGTAATAAGCAAATGTGTAAAAATAAAAATAAAATAAGATAAAAAATATAATGTCAATCGTTAGTTACGTCATATCAGGCCACGGAAGAGATAGGGGTGTCACGAATTTCTTCTGAACACATAAATTGGGGTTGAATGTACGTATTCCTATGGCTTCCGCTATGTGTAGGAGATGGGATCGAACTCCGTTAGAAAATGATGATGAAGGTATACGATAGATCTAGATACGAAAGATCTAGACTTATCTACCACATGACCACTATCAACTAGGTCTGCTAAGATCGAACTGTGTATTATTTTTGACTGACCTTGCTTAAACCATGCTGGGAGATGTTCACTCATTCGTTGGTTAAGTCGCCCGGTAGTACGCCCGATATAGCTATCTCTACAGGAGCAGCTGAATTTGTTAGGCGTTCGCGCACCATACCGAAGGTCCTGGGTTCGAATCCTGCGAGTTGCAGGAGTCGTGGATGCGTACTGCCGAGGAGTCCCATACCAAGATAAAACGGCCGTCTTTCAGTGCTTCTAGGTTTCTAATGGTGGTCTCATAACATTGATCGATTCATGGTTTCAGAAATGTGTACTAATATGTCAAGCCTATTGTGCTTATCTTGACTTTTCCACTTTATTGGTGAGTTAGCTTAATTCGAACAAGGGCTCGTGATCTGATTAGTCATATTTGGACGGACCATCGAGTATGCGATAAAATAAATTCTTCATTCCATTTCCGTTAATCACACTTAGGCAAATCATGTTTTTACGTCGTCGGTAGTAAGAAGCTGAATGTGGATTCGGTTGGATGAATTTTTTCTTCATGTATTCATTTAGGCAGAATGAATTGCGTCCAGGCAGAAGGAAGTTAAGTGGAGAAGGCGAGTGAGCCAACTCGATGCGATGAGACGTGGCTTAGTAATTATACGTCAGGCAATAAATAGGCTAGATAAGTAATAAGTGAAGTAAGCATGCACATACACAGTCAAATAAAAAATTACCAAGATTATAAGGGAATAATAGACAAGGTCGAAAAACACCTGTCAGTAACTCGAGATGAGGCAATGAAAGCAGACGTGAAAGCAACTTCACAAAAACATTCCACATTCTCATCCACAAGATTTGGGATGAGGAACATGTACCATCAGATGGGAAAGAAGGATACCTCAGCAAAATACCAAAGAAAGGCGATCTCAGCAAGTGTGAGAACTACAGAAGCATTACTCTGCGTTCAATACCAGTCAAAGTCTTCAGCAGGATATTGTTAAACAGAATAAAAGACTTCGTAGGCGCGCAACTGCGAGATCGATAGGCTGGATTTTGTAAGGATCGATCGTGTACCGACCAAATCGCGGCAATATGGATCATTGCGGAGCAATCAATTGGATGGACTTCACCACTGTATATCAACTTCAGAGACTACAAGAAAGCATTCGACAGCGTGGGAACAACAACAATATGGAGGCTTGTTGGACACTACGGCATGCCTGAGAAGACAGTCAACATCATACGTAATTCTTACGATGGATTCAACTGCAAAATCGTACACAGACGACAGTTGACGGACTCGTTGGAGGTGAAGATTGGTGTCAGGCAAGGTTGCTTATTCTCACCGTTTCTCTTTCTCTTGGTGATTGACTGGATTATGAAGACATCAACATTTGACGGTAAGCTGGATGATCTAGACTTCACAGCTGATCTGACTGTTCTATCACACACTTAAAAACAAATACAAGAGAAGGTGACTAGGTCTATGCTCCATTGGGAGTAGCAGGTGAAGGTGAGTGCTTAATCCTCACAGAAATACGCATATGCCTAAAGGTATTGATCAACAATAATCCGTAGTCTTATAAACACAGATGGGATGATAATTCAAATAACCATCAAGAACGAATAAATATTGTGGAATGAAGAGCATTCATTTCATTTCATTTCATGTACCCTAAATTCATCCACATACCAGCTAATTTGTACAAATATATATAGCATATCTCTCTTTTTAATACTAAGTGTATTTTTGTGATGTAGAAAAAACATTTTTTTTCTGGTTAACTGTACAAATTAGTGCATATTTAGGTGAAATGCATTTACTACAATTCAGTTTGTTAATTGATAAAAGTTTATCAAGGTGATGGGGGGGGGGCGGGGAAAGGAACTCATTGATTGTTATCAACATTTGTCCTGTTTAGTTAAAATCATATAAGACCAGATGGAATTTTATTGGAAAATAACAACAGTTGTATGAAATATTTTTATAGGTTATTTCGTTATTTAGGCTTTTAGTTGAATTAAATCTAACCCAATTTATGAAATGCGAATATGAAGTACGAAAACTTTTCAGTAAATCTATTTATCTGTAAGAAAAATAGTACAGAATTCAATTCAATTTTAAGTAGAGCGTTCCAATTTAGTGGCTCGAGACTTGACTCTAGTTGGACAACGTAGAACTTTGTATGTACGGATATCAGTTCAAGTTGTGATACAAAGAAGTTCTAGCTAAGGAAGCTTGTTATCCTATTTGATATTATCTCTAGATATTAAAAGCTCCAAAATTTAGTTTAGAATGGGTTTTCAGGAGATCGAGACTATGGTTTCATGTACTCGAATCGTTTGCATCAGCGGCACGAGATGATAATGGAATGTGAGAAGTATTGGTCGTGGAGATAATACAGTTATTAAGAGGTGTAGGTAGGATTTTATTATGACGAGCTTGGTCTCGTTTGCTGTTACAGGTATGAGAGCGGATATTACTTCCTGTCTGCTCGCAACATGGAATGGCTCTAGTTGTCAGAAGGGTCTCCGGCCTCGTAACTTCCGAAGGAACTCGGCTTTCATCGTGAGACGTCATCACTCTTCTAGATGACCTTCGAACCCTCAGGGCAGAGTTTAAGTTGTTTGAATTGATTTTTCTGGTTAGCGTTTTTCAGGGGGGGACAAGTAAGCTAAAAGTTAACTGGCGCGGAAACATACTTACTTATGCTTGTCACCCCCAATGGAGCACGGGCCGCCTACCAGTGTTCTCCAGTCTACTCTGTCCTAGGCTTCCGTTTCCAGTTCTGTCCAATTTTGGTTCATTCTTCTCATATCTTTCTCCAATTGAGAGTACGTGAAAATTCAAAATTTCGGCATAAAATTACAAAATTTAGAATCTTTCCAATTGAGATCTGGAGATCGAACGTCCCTAAAATACACACACATGGTGTAGAAAATTTGTAACTCAGGTGGATGATTGTGGTGGTGGTGGTGGTGTTTGGTTCTCTGAGCTGAAATGAAGCATTCTATCTGAAGTTTGTGCTGATGATGTTGTTGTTCGGCAGAAGAACAACATGAAAGCTCCACAACCAAAACATCCAGCTCAGAGAACCAAACATCACCACCACAATACACACACATTCATATTACACATTTGGAATGTAGTGATTTTTAATGGGAAATTGATACAATTTGCGTATTTTGTAATAGTATGTTTTCTTATTATTTTCAAAAAGGCTCTTATTCAAGAATTGGAAGCTAGTAAATCACATGTTCATGAAGCTGATTTAGATCCAATCTCTGCATCACGATCACCAAATGCCAATATTGAACCTAGTTATAAAACACGTTATAGACGACATGGATATACATGTAAGTTTCTACTTTCTTACATGATAGATGGATGATACAATAATTTGATTTAATTGTTTTGTTTAAAACTACTATTGTTTATTCGATGAGTTTCTTATGTTTCGTAGTATCGAAGTAGGTTGGAAGAAGGCTAAGGGGTGGCCAAACCAAAACATAGCAGAAAACCACAAAGTCACTGAAAGGTGGACTGAGTCATGTTGGTTGATGTAGTAGGCTACCTGGTTGGGGTCCGCGAGACGAAATTCACCAATGGTTAGAGAACTTGAATGACATGGCTCAAAATTGTTTGCAATGGCTCAGGTTCATTCATTCTTTGTGTTCTCTCCAATTCTAATCTTCGGAATTCCTCACCATCTATATCTTTCTCGTTCTAAATCTTTCTCACTGAATTATACTTCTTGAATCATATTTTCGAACCCTAATCTTCTTCATTACTACTAATACTTCTACTATCTCTGCCACCATAAGATTTGAACTGACAGTTGCTTCTCTGAGCCAGTGTCGTATAGTAACATAGACTTATATACTTGCGTACGAAGTTCTACGTTGTAACTAACTGACTTTTCATGTTGAATAGTCAATTTCCTTTATTCTGATGGTTTTTAATTAAATAATTACCAAACAATTAATCACCTGATTTAGTTTGTTAATACTAGGATTTCGAAATCATCATTAGAAGCCTGAAAATATTGGAAGGTCATTTCTTCTCAGTATGGGACTGATCAACAGTGCGGATCCACGAGCCTTGTTCGCGTGAATCGAATTTAGGACATTCGGTCCTGTGCGACTTCATTCCATTGCCTTCGGTGGGCACTGTTTCGACGGGTTTGAACTTCTCACTAGAACTTGGAGAAATTTCCTCATGAGGCTGGTCACCAGTGAGCACATGACAATTTTTATGATGGGGTTATAGAGATTTTTTGATCGATTGACTGACTCGTCATTTTTATGGAACTCTACAACCCTATTTTGAATAGTTATCTATTCAAATAAGCCTGCTTAGTTTACTACTTTACTCATTACATAATTGAAAATAAGTGGTACTTAATTTTCTCGATGACTAGATTCTATGATTGCTGTTGTGGTGTTCCTGAATTCAATACAAATATCTTATTTTCATAATGGCCCTGTTTAGCTTTCACTAAGCAGAACGCAAAGAACTACTGCACAGTGGACTTATCCTTTGGTTAGTAGATGTATATCTCACCTACACCATAAATGATGAAAGTTAGCAAAGCCAGCGGAACTTCCTTTATACATGTAGAAATTTCGTTAAGCCCCGGGCCATCAGGACCAATATACTACCAAGATAAGTGAAGCAGTCAGCGCCCTCAGCTACTTGACTCCCCATTGCTAGTCTAGGCGCCGATGCAACCCTATCTTAAAGTAATATTTTTTATTTGCAGAGGAAAAATCCCATCTCAAATGTACTTGGATTGTTGCTTAAGTTGGTTAGTGTCTTCACCAAGAAGAACTATGTCATCGGTATATTCTAAGTCAACAAGTACATCTTGTGGTAGCTGGTCAACTTCTGAAAAGCTAGATGAAGAAAGTGTCGTATTTAAAAGTATGTCAACGACAAATTTAAACAAGAAAGTAGGCAGTCTTGATGGACACCATTTGAAGTAACGCATTCCGATGCCAGTTCGCCATAGGCTCTCACTTGAATAGTAGTTTTCGGGTAAAGGGCCTACATTCTACTACATAACTTACATATGCAACATAGTAAACACATGAAAGACTGCAAACTTATTGACCTATTTATCATCCTACTTCATAATTCAACCAGTTCTATCGAATGCATTTTTGTTCTGTATACGACATGGCTCAGAATCGTTTGCAGTGGCGCAGGTGCATCCACTCTTTGTGTTCTGTGCAATTCTCATAATCTCTACCTTTCTCCTTCTAAATTTATCTTACTGAATTATACTTCATATATCATATCTTTGCTCCCTAATCTTCTCGATTACTGCTAATACTTCTATCAATCTTGGATTTGAACTGACAGTTGCGTCTCTGTGTTGATGGGGCATGGCTACATGAACTGATGTACTTACATAGGATGTTCTGTGTTGTATCTGTCTTTGGATTCCATTGCTCTAGCCCCCCCCCAATTACTAAAACCTTGTGACGGATAGCTTTATCATCGTTATCCATGCAGGATGAATGTTGCACAAACAGTAACTGATCTGTCACAACAACTTGAAAATACAAACACCTACGA